AGCTTGGAGCCTGCTTTGGATTCCGTGTCTCCCTCTCTCTCTGCCCCTAACCCACTCGCATTCTGTCTCTGTCTCTCTCAAAAATAAATATTAGAAAAATTTTTTTAGAAAAGATCCCTTGGTTTCCTCTTCAGAAATCACATCGTGAGGAAGTTCTCCTTCCGGTCTAGCTTTAATCCCTCCTGTTTCTAGATAAAGTAGATTTCCTGTGGTTTAACCCTATTCCTAATAAATGGAGAGTGGAGGGCCTAAAGACTGGCTTAGTAGCCTGTAGTTTTCTCCCGTTTGAACAGAGACCCAGCTCCCCTGATGCCCCCATCCCTTCTCACTGGCTGTTTCTCTCCCTGTGTGTGTGTGTTTCTCTCTCCGTCCTCCAGGTCCCCAGGCCCTGACCTGGCCTTCCTGACTTCCTGTCCTGACAAGAACAAAGTCCATTTCAACCCGACCGGCTCGGCCTTCTGCCCCGTCAGCTTGATGAAGCCCCTCTTCCCCAGCATGGGCTTCATTTTCCGCAACTGCCCCTCGAGCCCGGGGTCCCCCCTTCCCCCTGCCAGCCCCAGGCCACCGCCTCGGAAGGATCCAGAGGCCACCAAAGCCTCCTCGCTGCCATTCGAGCCGTGGCAGCGCACCCCGCCATCAGAAGAGCCTGTGCTTTTCCAGAGTTCCCTGGTGGTCTGAGGGCCCTGACCCCATCACTTCGCCATGGAGACCAGTGCCTTGGTGGCAGGCCCCTCCCTAGCTCCCCTGAGGTGGGGGATGAAGGAGCCCTTCCCTTCCGGCCTTCGAGCACTTTCATTTATCGTGTCAAAGCCCCGGGTCCTCTTTCTGGCGGACACCGGCCCCTCCGAATGTGAGGGGACCTGCCTTCTCCACTAGCAGCTGGGCAGCTCACAAGTCACACCTGTGTTCTTGCCGCCTCTCTCACTTGGTGGAAAACCCACCCCCGAAGGTCTTGGGTCCCCCACCCCTGGGTGTGAGTCCAAAGGGCTGTATATGGCGCCCTTGACCTTGTCATGGAGCAAGCTGCCCATAATCGAAGGAGAGGGGACCCCACAGATGTCCTTCCCTCTCCCCCCCTGCCCCCGGACACGGAGGAGGAGACGTGAAGATATATACCCCCCTCCCCATGCCTCTCTCTCATTGGAGGAGCTGACCAAAGCAGCCCTCAAGGGCCAGAACACTTGACCAATGCAGCTGCTGGCAGAGATGGGAACCAAGCGTTTTCCCAAGTGGCATTTTCATCTCGCTTTCACCCTAAGATTGTCTTAAGCAGCGGCCCGGCTTGCCCAGCCCCAGGTGGGCAGTGGGGGAGAGGGACAGCTGGCATTCCTCCAGGTGGCAAGTGGCGACCCTCCACCCTCCACCTGCCCCAGGACTGGGTTGGATTAGAAAAATGCCTATTTTTCTTGTATCGATGTAGAAACTCTATTTTCTCCCAAAGACACTATTTTTGCAGCTGTTTGAAGTTTGTATATTTTCCGTACTGCAGAGCTTACGCGAAATCGAAGAATGTTAATGTTCAAGTTTTCTTATCCTGTGTTTAGAAGTTGTTTTTTTGCAGATCTTGGTGTTAATAGACCAAATAAATAAGTATTCCCAGCAGCCTGAGGTTCTGTTAGACATGATTTGGGGGGGGAGGGGGGAGGGAATGGGATAGAGATTGGAGGTATTATATTGATCATTTCCTGCTTATCTTCAAGAGGGGTCTTTACTGAACATGTAAGAATGCGGATGTTACATGGATGTGGGCGTTGTGTGGATGGACAGTGTTCCTGTCCTCAGGTCACTAGGCTTGGATTCTTTACACGGACGTCTAAGCAGCAGGTCCGTAGAAAGGCTGTCCAGATGAAGGGTGTGGTGGAGGTGGGGTGAAGGAGTCAGTGGGGAAGCCGGAAGTCAGTGGGGATGAGTCCGGAAAAGCTCCCTAGAGAGAGTGGGTTTCAGAGAGGACGCGAGGGGGACCAAGTTGGACGTCGTGGGTGCTCTTTGCACCAGCCAGGGGAAGAAGACGAGAGAATGGCAAGCAGGCTGAAACTCTGGGCGCAGTTTTAGGGAAGCTTTGGCTTTTCTGGAGCACTCTTTCCACCTCCTGAGTACCCACAACACAGAGGGGTTTGCAGCCTCTCAGCTTTATCGTGCTGCACCTGTAAGAGCTCAGCAGCTTTGAGGGGAAACGGAAACAGCCACCCCAACATTCCGATGGCGCTTTGCGATTTACAAACATTATCACCTGGCATCCGATCCCTACTGGAGGGGCGGAAAGTTGACTACCCCAAGAGCAGTGGTAATAACTACAATCGCACCTATCTTGTAAGACCGCAAGACAAGCTCCTAAGGCAGGCTATCCCTGTAGGCATTGGCTCGGTGAGCATCAGAAACCCTGTTAAGTGCTTGACCTAAAATCCTACCGAAATATCGCAACAACACAAAGAGCGAGAGAACTGGATAAATCCCACTGTACTAATGAGAGAAAGACAGAAAGATTGTATAGCCTCACCCCAAAGACACAAAGTGGGGGAGCTAAGTTTGGGAAGCAGATCATTTGAATCCGGTGCCCATGCTTCTGACCACAGCGCTCTCCTGCTTGTTAGTATTTTCCCATTAATTTCAGATGAGGAAACTTGACTCAGAGGTCAAGAGAATTGTTTGAAGTCCCAGCTGGTGAAGAGGCAGGGCGGGGACTGGAACCTAGGTCTCTCACCCCAGCTACTGTTTGGTGCCCTGGAATCACAGGCTGATTCAGTGGAATAAGCCACAGGGCGAGAGAGCAAATTGTGTGTGT